GCATGTATATGTATACGATTTAACTCTGACACATTTTCAACAGAATGGTCCCGAAACTATGATACAATTGTAATTGTAATAACTGAATTGACTATATGTTTCAAAAGACTGTTGAAATGAGCTGATGTTGTAAAACGTTAATGATAAAAAAAATATATTTGCCTAAAATACAGATAGACAGTTTTTTATAAAAAAAGAATGAGGCGGTTTATTTTACATTGAATGTTACAGGTTAATTCCGATTGATATTTAATACATCCCCTTTTCCTACGTGATCTATTTACTTCATGCGAATTAAATTATAAAATTGAAAATATTTTAATGCAAAAGGTAAACTGACTTTCACCTGCTTATTCAGTGTGTACCCTTAGATGGGCATAATGGCATTTTAATATGTAAATTATATTTATCAAATTTTTATTCAAGTTTTTAACACACGTGATTTTTAATAACGAATTTCATAATTTATAATGTTAATGTTTAGTAATTATAATACAAATTTCATTCTGAGAAGACCTTAAATATAAAAAAATAGGAAGACATTCATTGTGTTTAACATGTTTAAATGTTTAACATTGTATGAAATATGATATTCTGTAAATTCATTAAAGAAGGATTCAATAAATAGATTTTTCCTTGATTAAACCCTACCGATGTTAGCAAGTGCCGTGTTGGATTGAATTGCACTATTATCAAATTGTCACATAAATCAATTACTTCTACAAATACGTTCAAGCAATGAATCCTTGGCGACGAACACTAATATAGGTCTGAACTTATACATGTTTTTTTGTTTGTTTTTTTAATTAAGAAAGAAGATCAATGAATAATCTCTTATAACACTTTCTTACATAATCAAAATATATAAGTAAGAAACACTATTTTGCATCTTATTTTTTATTTTTATTATATTATTATTTTTTTGTTATTATTTGTAAAGCAATTTTTTATATTCTCGTCAATGTGAAGAATAATATTTATACGCCTTTTGGCGTCAAAGGTAAACCCAAGTTATTTGCAATGTAATCAGAGGAAGTCACTCTTATCGACTTTTATTTTGAGAGAAACAGTGGTCCCCTGTGAATTCCTTGCCCCATTTGCAATGTTATCAGGGGAAGTCACTCTAACCGACACTATTTTAAGCGAAACAGTAACCTCCCTTTGCACCCTTACACCATTTGCAACGTTATCAGGGGAGGCTACACTTAACTACTAAAGTTTGCGCGCTACAGTTACCTTTCTTTGAACCCTTACGCCATTTGCAATATTATCGGGGAAGGCAAACTAAGCTTCTAGATTTCGGGCGCAATAGTTACCTCCTTTTTAAACACTTACGCCATTTGCAATCTTATCAGAGGAGCTAAATTCAGCCGACTCTATTGAGAGAAACTGTCATCCCTTATTGAACCCCTTATCCCCCATTTGCCATGTAATCAAGTGAAGCTCTAATTGACTATTTTAAGTGCAACAGTTACCTCCCTTCGAACCCTTACACCATTTGCAATATTTTCAGGGGAAGTCACTCTAATCGACTCTTATTTTGCCAGAAACATTAACCTCCCATTTAACCCTTAAGCTATTTGTTACATTATCAAGGGAGGTAAATCTAAACGACTCTATTTTGAGAGAAACAGTCGTCTTTTTTCGCACCCTTACACCATTTGCAATGTTATAAAGGGATGCTACACTTAATTACTAGATTTTGAGCGCAACAGTTACCTTTCTTTGAACTCTTATCCCATTTGCAATTTTTTCAGGGGAGAGCACACTAAGCTTCTTGATTTCAGACGCAACAGTTGGCGTTAGTGTTTTGCAATCTTATCAGGGGAGGTCAATCTTACTGACTCTATTTGAGAAAAATGGTCGTCCCCCTTTGAATTCCTTACCCCATTTGCAATGTAATCATGGGAGGTCACTCTAACCGACTATTTTGAGTGGAACAGTTCCCTCCCTCTAATCGACTTATTTTTTAAATCAATATTAACCTCCCGTTGAACCCTTGCGTTATCTGAATGTTATCAGGGGAGATCAATCTAACCGACTCTATTTTGAGAGAAACAGTCGTTCCCCTGTGAACCCTTCCCCCATTTACAATGTTATCATGGAAGGTCACTCTAACCCACAATTTCGAGTGCAACAGTAACCAGCCTTTGAACCCTTACATCTTTTGCAATGTTATCAGGGGAAGTCAATCTAACCGACTCTATTTTGAGAAAAACAGTCGTTCCCCTGTGAAGCCTTACCCCATTTGCAATGTTATCATGGAAGGTCACTCTAACCCACAATTTCGAGTGCAACAGTAACCACCCTTTGAACCCTTACATCTTTTGCAATGTTATCAGGGGAAGTCATTCTAACCGATTCTATTTAAAGTGCAACAGTAACCTCCCTTTGCAACCTTACACCATCTGCAACGTTATCAGTGGAGGCTTCATTTAACTATCAAATTTTGAGCGCAACAGTTACCTACCTTTTGCAATGTTATCAGGGGAGGAAACTTTTATAACTATTTTGAGTGCAACAGTAGCCTCTCTTTGAACCGTTATCCTATTTGAAATATGTTTCAAAAATGCCTATCTATAATTGTATCATAAATTAGAAACGCTATTTTGAATTTTCCGTAGCATTCAGGCTTTTGGCCTTCTTCAGCAGCATTTATTATATATACAAATATATTTAGACAAAACAACGGCATAAAGCGACAATAAATTATTGTATCTGTATAATTATTCGAATACTATTGACACTGCTGCTACGACACAATATCGATAAAGGCATATGTCCATTTGTGCCACGCCATACTATCGATCAGCGCATATATGTCCTGGTACTACGTCTTGATATCGATAAAGGAATATGTCCACTATTGCTTTATCAGGATATCGATAAAGGGATATGTCCACTGGTGCTATGTCACAATATCGACTTGCGTTCCATGGTGCTATGGCACATTGAGGCATATGTTAACTGGTACTATGTCATTTATATCACAAACGTGATACCCATTTATCAAGTCCCGTGAAGAAAAATATGTTAAGTAAAAAATATAAGTGAAAGAACACCAATAAGAACAAAATGACTACAATCTTGTCTTATTATAATTGCTCTGGCAAACGATCAATTTAAGCAGTGTTAACGAACAAAATACTTAAGCTGGTTACATATCCGTCGTTGGGAGTTTTTTATTACAACATTTTTTAACATTCCATTTACCAAGTGTGTGTTATGGATGTACTTTTCGGCCATTTATTGCAACAAAGTCGTATTTAATTGATGGAATGCTCGGTATAAGAAACGCGTAACAGTTATACCCGGTGATATCATTATACCCGGTGATATCTATGAAACGCGTTCCAGTATTACCCCTTATACCCAGTGTAAACAATACCTTTCAACCATTTTTGCATTGACAATACGGCAAATAATCATTCCGTAATTTATATAAGGGAGAATGTCCAAGCAGATCTACTTTTGTCCAAATACTCAGAGGAATATCGATATGTAGAAAGGATTTTATCACATTTATTTACTCATCTTTATCTGCTATATATTTATTGCCTGGCACTTCATTAACTTTCGTAAAGGTCATTTGAATAATCTAACGAACACAGACCAGTATCTAACGTTGGCTTCGACTTCATATAGAAAACTAAAATTTAATTTGCATACAAGTATTGTAACATTACTAATAACGTAATGTACATATAAAGAAAAAACTATACTGCTTTGTTTCTCGCCGCAATATCATGTTTCTGTCGAGTTTAATATATATTGTTTTGATTTCTTTACAGGACAACGGACATTTTTGTACAACCTCTTTTCCAAAGTGACATTTAATAAAATAATTAATTCCATCCTCGGCAAATAAAAAATGTCAAAATGTTAAAAAAAAATAAGCATTATATATTATATCATTATTTCATTTATAAATTTTGACAATTTTAATGGAACGAATTATTTTATCATTTTCTGCCATTTCGAAATTTCGATTTGTCACGGCTAGAGGAGCAACAACGCCTCGCACTCTTTTTATTTTGTTGTTATTCTATTATTCTAAGTACCATGACAACACAAAAAATGTAAAATTGAGATAGGGCAACGATAAAAAATCGTTTTGTCTCCCTTTATTTGGTGTATTGTCGCGTTAATTTTGGCGTTTAAACGTATGTACATCCCACCGATGGGACAGCGTGACATAACAAAAACAAGTCCGTTTTGTTGCTCTTTTGCGTTTTCATCAATTTATTTTGTGTTGTCACAGTTGAAGGGCACCTTCAAGAAATAACGACAAAACGAAAGAGTGCGGCACAATGAAAAAAAAATATGTTTCTTGTTTTGTCGCTCTTTGTCGTGGTTATTCTCGGACTTCGACAGCGACAAAACGAAATAAAGAAATGGTAAAAATCAGCCACCATAGTTTTGTAAGTATGTACTTCATCATAAATTGGCAAAAAACAGTTGAAAAATGTAGATCTGTCATGCAATTATGCTTTAGAATTCTATAATTAATTTAAATTTCTGTTTAAATAATTTATTTCATTGGGAGAATATTGTGTCACATTTTGAGTTAAGCTACATAAAGTTAATGTAATTTGATGATGCAACGTACTTAATCAGTTAAACACAAACTACACTAATTGATTTGATCGGCTATTTTGGAAAAACATGCGAATTTTACGAGTGGCTTTAAATCTTCTTAATTACATTTATTACATACGTAAAGTTGCGTACAATCAATAATTGAATTGTGACCATTAGGACATGGGAGAAGCTAAGACCTTTATTTGTAAAAAAAACTAATATGTAGTCATGAATGGTTGTATCCGTTTTGGGCGAGATTTTGTACATTTTAACATAAGTTTCTTCCAGGAAATTGGCGATTTTAAGTTACAGATTATAGGCAATTTAAGTCCAGTTAGAAATATAACAATGAACAAGAAGCAATGTTCAACATGCATGTTAAGAGCATTTATTGACATGAATTTCATACTATTATAACCTTGTAGGATTTTTCGAAATGTCATAAGAAAGATGCAAAATTTGGCGATTTTGCTCAGCTTCACGCATGTATTCAGAAGAAAATAAATATTGGCACATATTCAAATAAATACATGGAGAAGAAATTCTATGCTGAAGATATATACACATTTTCAAAATGTTTTGTTAGAAAACAAAGCCACAGGCAAGGTTAAAAAACATGTATAAACTGTGTACCTTGTTCCGCCCGTGTGATACATGTAATTACGCGACACCGGTACATTTAATTCCATTTACGTACAATATTCATGTGTGTTAATTAACAACGACAAATTCAGGTTAAGTCATTAGATAATCTACCATAAGAATATGAAAATAACATTATTTAACCGTTTATGAATTTAATATAAACATACTTCATCGGATATAGAATTATACACTTTAAAAATGATAAATTATTAATCATGTAAATTTTAAAGCGCCCATGCTAATAAAATTGTATTTATAAAAAATATCAGCAACATTTTTCTAAACTTTTAAGTCCTTCTTGTCATAAAGATTATACTCCAGAACTAAAGTTTTGTTACAAAAGATGAAATCGCTCCACCATCTACAATATGTGTTGTCCCTGAAACCATCGATGATAAATCGCTGAGAAGATATAGTATCGGGTATACCACCTCCTTTATCTCGGCTATCCGTCCCAGAGGTGTCTTGTCAATAAAAAGTTTATCTAACGGATACACTTCTTTGAAGAGAGATTGCATAGCTTCAGTTTTGACAATTGTTGGATTAATGGCATTAACCCGTATATTGTAAGGTCCTAACTCCAGTGCAAACTGTTTAGTAACCATGTCAAGAGCTGCCTTTGACGACGTGTACGCTAAATAGTTTGGGGCGCTCTGAAGAGAATATAAACTAGAAATATTCACAATCGATCCATTTCTTTTAGCAGCAATCATTTTCTTTGCAACGATCTGCGTAATGTATATTGAGGCAAATAGGTTTGTTTCGAATGTCCTCTGTAAAATATCTTTAGAAACATCCAAAGCAGGACACATACAATTTTCTGATAGAGCCGCATTATTCACCAAACCATCTAGAACGTCTATACCATCAAGTTTGTCTTTCAGTTCGTCCAAATTACGAATGTCTGCTTGTATCGTATGTATGTTATGATCCTCTCCGGCTAAAGTGTCTAGTGTCTTCTGAGTTCGACTTAACGCATAAACTTTACAACCTTGTTCACTTAAAGTCTTAGAGAGAGCCCGACCAATTCCACGGCCTGCTCCTGTCACTAAGAACTTCTTTCCTGCTAATTCCAATGACATTTTTGACAATCAAACTAATATGATATTAATCACTGTTTGTTATCATACCTTGCATTCGACTATTTTAAGTGTAACGTTACTGTTTTGTAACCAAATGACGAAAATTACAAAATTATAACCTTTGCATGCAATGATCAGTCATGCATAGTTTTATGAGATACAAGAATGATGATCTGAAAATGGGATATTGTGTTTAAAATATGGTGTGTATCGACATAGTCTTTTTAACGCCGTTAAACGTAAAGAAAACAACCTACAAACTTGAAGAATACAATTACATTCTTTCAATAGAAAATTGCAATCTGTAAATTTTATGTTTTCATTCATTTTGTAAACATCGGGGGACTTTTAAATAGCATATTTTTTCAAAAACTTTGATCCGGAAAAGTATGTCATTTAAGCGTAGGTTCTGTACTTCAAGTATTTTATCATTATCTTGTTGGCAAATGTACCTTCGCTTGCAAAATTACTTAATGTTATAATTAAAAAATCAAAATATTTATATAAATGCTTTAATGAGAGATCTTTATTGGAATTGGCACAAAGATCGGGTCGACATTCGATTTATCAATGTCGAAATGGGATATGAAGCTTGCTTCACACTCATTACAACACTCACCTCGACATTCGAGTCACCACTGTTGAGATGGAAATGGGAACTTAGCACGACATTCAGCACAAAACTCAGATCGACACTCGTTTTTGTCTTTATTTAAATGTCGAGCTAGGATATGAAACTGACACGACATTTGCACACATTCAGTTCGACATTTGTTTATTGTCTTTTTTTGAAAGTCGATGTGGGATGTGAAGCTGGCTACATTTTTAGCAAAATATTGAGCTCGTTTCTGTTTCCTTTTTTTTTGAATGTCGAGCTGATATGTGAAACTGACTAGACACTCAACATTCGACATTAGTTTTTCTGTTAGTTATAAATATTGAGAGGGGATGTGAAGCTGTCTAGACATTCGTTGTGTCTCTTTTTTGAATGTCAAGCTAGTATGTGAAACTGGCTCTTCATTCACCACAACATCCGGCTAGACTTTTGTTGGTGATTTTATTTCTATGTGAATGTCATGCTGGGATGTGAAGCTGGCACGACACTCAGCACAATATTTAGCCCGAATTTTTGTTTTATTTTTTATATATTTGAATGTCGAGCTTGTATATGAACTGGAAACTGGCTTGACATTCAGCACAACATTTAGCTTAACATTTGTTGTTGATGTTTGTTTTGTGTGTGTGATTTTCGGGGGGGGGGGGTGTGTTGGGTGTTGTCTCTTTAATTTCGGGCTAGGAATTGTAAAGCTGACTGGACATTCCGCACAATATTAAGCTCGACAATCAGCTTTGTGTGTGTGTTTATTTTTCTTTAGAATGTCGAGCTGGGATCTTAAGCCGGTTTGATATTCCGTGTTTTTTTTTAAGAAATGCATTTTTTAGATACATACGCAATTAAAATTGCATAAAAATGATATCTAAGCTCTGAAAAAAATGAATGTAACAATCGAACTTTGGAAACATTCAGTGTCACTCTTAATTCATGCATTCACAATGAACTTGCCAATTTGAAATGTGAAAAGTGTTGAAAGTAAACTTTTTAACCGCTTGCGTTTGATATGCCCAGACACGGTTAGCGTGCACCAGCATTCGCCAGAATGTTGTTGTGTTTGTTCCAAGTGTAGATTCAAATAAAAAATCTTTAAGAGATCTCTTTTCTAATTTTACCCGAGATTCTTAAAGATATAAAGGATGTTTTGTGTTTCTTACGAAGATTTTAAACATTTAACTGTGTCACTTCAACATTTTCAATTTACATTTAAGTCGGTTTCCTTTATGATGAATATGTTTTATTCACGTTGCAGATGTGAAATTTAATATACGTGACGGCTTTAAAGCAGACGGAGAGGATTTAATTACCTTTCACATGCAATCTTTTTTTGTGTGAAACTAAGCGAACATGTATTTATATGCGTACTGTACCAGTGTATCAAATATCAAGGTCGTCAGACATTATGTTTAAATTGACGACCGAGATGCCGTGATCCGTAATAATTTTATATGTGGTCATTTTAACATTTATTTGTTCGAAATGACGCGTGTGGCGCCGTTATATATCACAACGCCGCTAAATATCGCACATGCTGTTGAATGTCGCACCATTGCCGCTTAATGTCGCAAAATCGTTTGCCGTTAAATGTCGCAATGGTTACGGTAAATGTCGCACGATTTTCACTTCCCATTAAATGTCGCAACACTACCGTTAAATTTCGCAAGCTGTAAATTCATGTAAAACTAGTAGCTAATGGTGTTGCATTTAATTTGTCGTTATGTTAGTTATTTGTCATTTATCATTAGTAAAGCAAAATTCAATGAGTTCATATTCAAAAAGGGCGGGTACATCTATCTGCTAGGACAGGCTTTGTTGTGACTTCAAAAATGATTCGTTGAAAAAGACGTTTTCTTATTCAGTTTTAAAATCTATAAGCATTATTTATGTCTCCTTGGCTTTTGCACACATACGTGTTTTCATTTAACAACCTACGTGCCGAGGTTTTCAGATAAAATATAACCTGAAGAGAGATATAACATACAAGGAAGCATATTCTAGATACATTTGATTAAGATTTTATATTATGTGTCCGCAGTTTCCCTATAAGAGAAGGTAATTGGATCTTGTAGGGAATATTTTGTTCCTGAATATTTTATTCAATTTACATATATATATTTATGTATATCACATTACATAGATGTTCTATGTTACAAAATTACCAAGAAGCGATCATAAGATTTCTAAAACAACATATTTGTTTTTATTTTTTTTTATGAAATATTCAATCAGATATAAACCTTTGATTCAGCAAATGGGACAAAAATATATCAATTGCAGACATCTAAATGTTAGTGACATTGAATATGCATTCAAATATAGGGTCCAAAAAACATCTAAGAAACTAACTTCAAGTTAACCCTTTATATACCTCAAGAGTTCTCCAATGTAATATTATATTAAAATAAACGCATAGAATGATTCACAGCACATTTTTGTATCTCTGAATTGTAAATCAATAATTTCGGGTGCTATGTCTAGTTAGTTCGTTTTGTTCTTACCTCGATAGTTTGTTTTATTTTCTAGTTTATTTAAAATGTCTGGGCAATTTAACAAATGAGCGATGACGCCAAAACGCAATAAAAAATGTTAATGTCCTACACGAATTAAAAGCGTGTCCGTATATTAACTTTTTGGTTCAGGTGATTGACCACGCCTAAAATAGCTCGTAAAAGTTGATGAACTGTCAATAAGACTGAAATCACGCTAGCCGTCACAAATCATTACAACAAAGTAAAAATGAAGTGTAAGGGCAGGAAACTGACGATCGTGTTAGGTAATGGAAAGCCTCCTGAACAGCTTACCAACGCTGTTAGTCTAAGATACTCTTCAACACAGATAAGTACCGTATTGTTATCTTTTTTGATAGCCAAAATTTCTGTTAGTACGTTCTTTGAGACTGACGTGTCATTCTGGGTGATTTGTTGGAACATTGATGTTGTTATTAAGATACGAGGACAGTTCTGTAGTATGAACAAATCAGTTTGTACATCCACTGAGCAACTTTTATAGTACTCTCCGGTGATCAGATAAGTGTTGTTGAGAATATTTTCTGCTGTATGTTCAATGATAAGATGCCGAACCTCATCCTTGTGCTTTACAGCAAAGGTTTTCTTTTTAATCTTTGCGAATGCCTTCAGGCTCGTAAGTAAAGTGTCTAAAGAGCAGGTTGTTGTTGTGAAAAACGTTATCTCAAAGTATATATTGTGACCTGAAGGATTTGTATATACGTTACGTTTACAAACTCCGCACATAAATTCACTGGAGAACAAGAAAGGAATGCGACTGTCTGTAAGCATAATGACCTCCTCCTTTAACGGTTGAGGACCTTTCAAAATTACTTCAAACTGTATGTTCAGTGACAATCCTGATATTGATTGTGCTGTACTCATGCATTCCCCATACACCGGGATCTTTCCAATCGGGCAGAATAACACCCTGCACTGTTTCTGCGAAATAAATGGAAAAAAGGAAAATGCAGATATTAGCTTTTGTGTTAATTATTTCGTGAAGCAATGACATGGTAAGTTTTGATAAAGAATAATCGAATATCAAATCCATCACCCCTTATATTATTACTAATAAAGATCGTTAACAGGTTTTATGGCCCTATGTAAACGGCTATTTGTAAATATAACCCGAGCCGATATAACGAATTTATAATACAGCAAGCATTATTATTAGAGAAAAACAAGTAAGATTTCTTCATGAATCGACAGCAGCCGTGTATATAAAACTTTATAATACTGCACGTTTGTTACGTCATTTTTCATTGGATAATCGTGACGTTTATATAGTTTTATATACACGGCTACTTTCGATTCATGAAGAAATCTTACCTTTTTTCTCTAAAAATGATGTTTGCTGTATTATAAATTCGTTATAAAGATTGTTGACAGGTTATATGGCCGTATATAAACGGCTGTTTGCAATATAACCCTCGCCTAACGGCTCGGGTTATATTTACAAATAGCCGTTTATATAGGGCCATATAACCTGTCAACGATCTTTATAACTAATAATATAAACGTCACGATTATCCAATGAAAAATGACGTTACAAATCTGCAGTATTATAAGTTATTTATATCAATTTGTAAGCAATATACAGCGTAACACAAGCAGAACTTAAAAGCTCATTATTCGGTCACACCCAAAGCTTTTCTTATGTCAAAGTAATTTTACGAATCAACTGTTTGAACATTTGCATTTCTATTTTGTGATTTTTACGGACGTTTAACTCTGTGAAATTTTAATAAGTGCAAGAACCGTTTAGGTTTCTTGTACACTAAATAACACTGGACATCAATTGGGAAATGTCACTAAAGGGAAAGCGTTTTAAAATGCACAAAATATCGCCAAACTGGTTAAGTGTACATATTAAGTGATCATAATTTTGGCTGTGTATCTATATATTTTGTATATTTGTTTAATAATAGACAGGCTTCCAAAAGTTAAATTAATCATAAGCTTCTTGGAAGTTTTAGAAGACTGATTCTTTAGAACCAGTTGGTAATTTCTATATTTTACGTACATGCCTCATAGATAACTGATTAAAACAAACTTACAACGAATGGATCCCAGACACTATTGGGTTTACACTTAAAATGAATGTCAACTTCCTGTGATAACAAGTCCTTTGAAGGCGACAAAACAACCAATA